TAAATTGTAGAGGCTGTTTGGGATCAGTCTGTTCTTTTGCATCAAGGCCTAAATGAGAATGCTCTAGATGTAGCAGTTCTTTAACAAGTTTTGTGTAGAAGTGTTAACAACTTTTTCAGCCTACCCAACAGCCTTTGCAACGGTTATGGTGTATGCATAATAGCAAAAGCATGGTTTGCCCTATTAGATCACAACTGTCCTTCTCGAAAGATGATGGTACAAGTGCCAAAGCAGTTACAATGGCCTGATCTACACTACAGACTTATATAGGTATAACTACATTGCTGCGGGGTGTGAAAAATCCACACCCCTGAGAGACGTAGTTATACTGAGATAGCCCCCAATGTAGACAATGCTATGTTGAGAACTTCTCCCGTCAACATAGCTTCTATTTCTCGGGGAGGTGGATTCACTACAGTGATGGGAGAAGCTCTCCAGTGATCGGCATAGTAGCATCTTCACTAAAGCGCTACAGCGGTGCAGCTGCACCAGTACAGCTGTGACGCTATAGTGTTGTACATGAAGACAAGCCCCATGCGTCGTGCTGAAGTGTCACGAGTAGCTAAAAAGTCCTATTCTCAAGCGGCAGTCTGTGTCACCGATGGTGCAGGCATAACGCGCAGGGCTAGAATATGAAACTGGTGCTCTTGAGGCCTGCTACACTTTCATTATATTGGATCACTAATATCAATGCATAGAAAAAAATACTTATGAAAACTGGCGCTACATATGCACAGCAGTCACCCTTTAAACCTCATTATCTCAGCTATTTGCAATTAAAAAAAAAATCAAAGGGTTCATGTTCATATTAAGGAGCAAAATGGCTGCAGAGAAAATCAACTTAAGAAACACAGCTGATCTGAAGTTAAAGAAGTACCAAAAAAAAAAAAAGTCTAAGCCCCCATCCCACATATTCTTAGTACCCCTGTGACTTTAAAACCTAATTTCTTTTAAAGTTTGTAAAAGGAAAAACAAAAAAAGAGTTGTTGGGCTAAGTCCTCACTTATCAAGTTTCATCCTGGAGGGAATTTTTATAGCTGAGTTATAAACCCTCCACACTAGTGTGTTTATAATGGAAATGCTGACAAATGTGATAATAAACACCAATCATGGGGCCTTAGTAGCTAGTCAGAATGTGGATGCAGGAGTTTTCAATGCTATCATAATATTTTGTTCTGTTTCCAGCACTAATTTGCTTAAATCTGCTTTCAGGTTGGGTAGTTGTAAAACAAAATCAGCCTGAATATAGATTGTAAAGTCTTTTGATTATTTTTCCTTCTCTTGGAAAGCTTGGTAATGTCTTTCAAATATGATTTCATTTAGACTTATTTTTTGGTTTACATGTCTGAATACTAAGAGTAACCCGATAGCTATGAGGGAACTCAGCTTTATACCAAAAGGCAGCCTTCAGTGAGCAAAGAGAACATAAACAAACCCGCTTCAGAGCAAGATCTAAAAATGGTATTTGTTCAAACAGCTCTAAGACTTTAAAAACCCCATTATTATCTTTTCCCAGGAGTAATTGACACCGTCAGTTTTTCTTTTTAATGCGGTGATAAAGGCATGATCCTTTAGGAGAACCAATCGCTGTGATTAGTTTGTGCATTGGAGGCTGCTGTGGCTTGTGCATTGGTGGTTGCTGTGTTTTGGAAACCTTTAAATATACTGGGTAAAATCCTACCCCCATTGAAGTCAATAGGAGTTTAGCCATTTACTTCAATAGGGCCAGGATTTCACTGGATCCCATTCTGATCCCAGATATACCAGATTTATACTACTCCATTTACTTTAGTGGTGTTACCCCTGAATCAGACCAGGGTAAGTGAGATGAGAATCAGACCCATTGTACATTTGATTGCAATGAAAGGGGATTATACTGCAGCTGGAAACTTGCCCAATATGGTTCCAAAATGTGTTTACATGCCTGGCACACCATGGCCCCAGTATTGCAACTGGATCCACAGGGGCAGATGGATGGGCCCATGTGGAATCCCACTGCCTTTAGTGGAGTCCCACATGTGTGAAGGGGTCTGCCTGAACAGATCTAGTTACCATTGTTGATGGGAGCCCAAGAGAACATTGCACTAAGGATAACATTGCATCAGATCATGCTCCTTTTTTATAAAGTCATCCAAGTCAGTGATAAATCAATTGAAGCAAGCAAAGCCAGACACTTGCACTTGATAGTTGGTTTGTAGGAAGACATTTGTCAGCTCCTCCCCTCATGTAAATCAATACAGAACTGGAGTAGCTCCTTTGAAGGCAATAGTGCTATAGCAATTTACACCAGTGGAGGTCCTTGACATTTGCCCTGCGCAGTGTATACATTTTCTCCTCTGGCATAAACTGCAATGGCATTTTTTCTTCAAAATCAATGATTCAAACAGGAATTTCACTATAGCTCTGACTTACCATTGTCAAATTTCCAGTGAATTCTTTAATAATAATTAATTATAGAGGATCAGGATTTTGGGTCATACATAAATAATAAAACACAGACATTGCTTTCTGCCTTTTCCTAATTGTTAACACAAGTATGAAAACAATTTGGATCTTGAAATGTTCCAATGTTTTGTTATTAAGCCAAAAAGAGAAAACCAATAATTTTTGAATTATCTGACACAGACATGTTTACATTTTGAAGCTCTTAACTTAAAATAAGATGGGTTATAGAGACCTAATTTTATCCAATGACACAGAAATGAACACTCATAAAGAGATACACAGCCTTTCTATGGAAAGCACAGTTATATACAGATTATAATACAGAGTAGTTTTAAAAACGAAAATCTAATTGCACACTCCATTGTCTATAAAGAACCCGTCTTCATCTTGATTCTTTATACAGTGGTAACAACAATATACATCTGGACCATTTGTTGATTTGAGAGGTTTAATCTTCACTTCTAGTTAAATTTTTCATTTTTAGCAGAATATATTCTAATACAGGAAGCACCCCAGTTTTATAGTGAGGTTTGGGCTGTATTAGCCAGCCCGCCCTCTCTTAGAAAAGACATTCCAACAACTCAGAAAGCAGATATATTGCAAAGCAATTGATATCTGAATCAGGAAGGTCAGCACAGGTAAGGAATAAGCATTTGGCAATGCAAATGTTAATAGCAATATTAATAGTAAATAATAAACATAATGAGAAAGAGCAATAACAATCCTTATGGGAGTTAACAAAACCATGGACTATAAATCATAGATACTTGGGCCAGATTCTGATCTCGGTTATACTGGCAAAAAACTAGAGACACTCTTTTGATTGGCACTGTTGCAGATTTATACCACTTAATTCAAAGGGAGTTCTGTCACTGACTTCAGTGAGTGCACACTCAGGCCCTAAACTGTTTATTAAGATGCTTTTGATGTATGGTCGGGGTAAATAAACCTGTTTTATTTATCTCACTGGAGAAGAAGTAACACCATATCAATTGAAGGAAAACCGTGAGAAAGGAAGGTGAGAGGGAGCAGGAACACTAGAATGTATGTGGAGATAGATAGATAGATAGATAGATAGATAGATAGATAGATTTAGATTACAGGTATTTGGAATTTTCTGAATTGCAACATTCTGAATTTTTTAAAAATTGGGGGGAAATGAAATGAAAAAAAATGATTTTTTTTCTGTTTTCAAATCACCTTTATGGCTAGCCAATTTAAAAAAAAAACTTTTCAAAATCTCAAATTTATTTTTAGATTAGTCAAATTTTCATTCCCTCCCCCCCCCCAAATTCGCCCACCCTCCTTTCCCCAGACCAGTCGCAATTCCTAATAATAGACTAGGCAGATTCCTAGATTCCAAGGCCAGAAGGGACCATTGTGATCATCTAGTCTGACCTCCTGCATAACTCAGGTCATAGAACTTCCCCAAAATAATTCCCACAACAGAGCTTTTAAAAACACATCCAGGCTTGATGTAAAAACGGCCAGGGGTGACTAATCTCTGTCAGTTTCCCCATTGCTTTGGAAGAGGAGCTGGAACGCACATAAGGCGCGAGACTCAGGCCAGAACTGAGCTCAGAAAGCAACCAGGAGCCCCTGCAGGGGACTCAGTTTGCAGGGCAAAGCTATTGCTGGGGAAAGCAGCCCCGAGCAAAGGGGGGAGCAGGAGCGGAGGCAGCTGGGAGGAGAGGGGGCTTTTCCCCTTCACTGCTCATCTCCTTCCTCGCCGCTGGCTCTTGCCACTGGCCCCGGGCACATGGGAGCGGGTGACCCCGGCGGCGCTCTCAGATAATGCCAAAATAATTAAACTCGCCCTTCGCCTGGCCTGTAGGAAGCGTCCGCCCGCCCCCACCTGCAGGCGGAGAGACGGCAGCGAGCGGGCTAGCGAAAGCCAATTAGCCTGGGCTGGGCCGAGGGGACACAATGGAGGAAGCGCCGAGGTTTCTAGGGGCGCCCGGAGGCGAACGGAGCCAGGCCGACCGGCTCGGCAGCCGAGCCAGAGAGGGAGGGATCAGAGATCCCTCCAGGATCCTTCCGGCCTGCCTCGCTCGCTGTCTGCCGGGCAGGCGGCTCCTTCATTGCAGCGCCTCAGCGGCGGTTAGCCCCGGGGAAGCCCACGGAGGCCGGCTGCTTGACGCCAGCCGGGGATCGGGCCCAGGGCCGTGTGTTTCCCTGCTCACACGGAGCAGTGATTGCTCCGAGCACACGGTTTTCCGGGAGCCGTTCTCCCCTCTCACCCAGGCTCATCTCCCTCCCACCCCCCCGCCCCCTTTTCTCATTCATTCATTCAGGGACTTTCCAACATCGCCTGGCCGCGGCTGGACTCCCTCCCACACCTAACCCTAGCCCCGTCCTTTCCCAGCACTCCTTTCCCAAGAAACTTTGTTGGACTTGCTGGAAGACCCCGTGCCAATTCCCAGCTCTGTTCAAATGATCCATTCTACGCTTTAGGTGTCGTGTGATGCATTAGATTGACTTTTCCGGCTAGCAGAAAAGAGTAAGGACTCTTGAAAGGCAAACCCCGCTAACATGAATGTATTCAATAGGCGGCATGTGTGGAAAGCATTTACTCCTCGTCATGTAAGGCAGGGATGCCTCCCAGGAAAATCCCGTTGAAAGCCACCAGGTCTATGTCAGCGGGGAAGCCTCAGACCTTTCCCCAAAGGCAGCAGGTGGCAACGTTTTAAGTAAAAAGAAACAAACAAAAATCACCACTTTTTTTCTTGCCAAAAGTCCCATTAGATATCAATGAATGTACAGATGGTGACGCTTTCCTCCCTGCCCCGCCCTCCCGGAGTGCCCCTTAATTTGATTTTATCCCATCATCCCCTGAATCCTCTACGTGACCCCAGACACTAGCCAGAGAGCCAGGAGCACTGCCTGTGCTAAACTGCGTCCCCGACCTTTCTCTTCCGCCTGCCCGGGCTGGGATGCTGTCCGCCTCCATCCCTGGATGGAGAAGCCCTGCGTCCTCGGCTCTCTAGCTCGCCTCCTTCTTGTTGCAGCTGTCCAAGAGTTCAGTCATAAAGGAGATGTAGACTATGGCCAGGCGTAAGGTTTCTATCCTGGACAGCCGCTTCTCGTAGGCGAAGGTGGGCACCTTCTTCCTCAGCTGATCAAACGCTTCGTTGAGGTTGAACATCCTCTTCCTCTCCCGTATGTTGGCAGCCTGGCGCTGGGCATAGGTGATGACTCGCTTTCTCTTGGGTCTGTCCAGCAGAGACGTGCCCCTCATTCTCTCCTCCTCCTCCTCCTCCTCTTCTTCCTCGGGGTCTCCATCATCAAAGGGGGCCAGAGGCAGCCCCCTGGCCATGCCCTCTCGGAGAGCCAGGGCTCTCTCCCCAAACGGAGGTCCGGAGGAGAAATCGTACAGGTCCAGGCTGGGCACCCCTCGAGGGTGGCACTCAGGAGACCCCAGGGAGAGATCGGCCACGAAGTCCAGCACCGAGGCGCCCACCGGCCCTTCCTGATACGCCATTTGCTGGGCTCGGCTGGATATTTCATCGATTCTCCCAGGGCGTGTGCGGGCTGGGAAGAGGCTGATATCTCACTTCACAGAGGGCTTGGCTGGTACCATCCCCAGCCGAACGGCGCGAGGGCATTAATATTTATAACCCAACAGATAACCGGATTAGCGGCACCAAAGAGGAAGGCTATGAAATGTTTCCCCTCGATGCTGATGAGAGGAGACAGGCAGCCCCTCGGGGACGCGTGGATGTTCCAATGAGAGAGGTTCCCCAGGGCTTCAATCCTGTCACAGCGATCAGGGCCAGTTCCTTCTTGGCAACCGTCCCTAGCTCTTACCTGCTGCGCGCTTTTGTCTCTTCTGACACCCCCGCAACCAAACGATTTTCAGACTCTTTCAGGCCCGAGCGGCCAAGATTGTTCTCCCCTGGGGTCGTTTCCCTGCTCGCTGCACGGATCTCTGTACCTTGCGACCGTGCCTGACAATTGATGTCAGACAAGTGCATGTAGGCTTTTAATGATGTCCTGAAGAGGGGACCTGCATGCAAAGGGTCACCGGGGGAATGTTTACCCTGTATCCCAGTGCAAGGAGAGCTGAATGACAGAACCTCCATTAGCCTAAGCAAGCATTGTAGGGGACCCCATATTGCATTCCCAGTAGTAACTGTTGGAATCGGCTCTCCCCCACCCCCCACTAGAGTTCAAACATCTATCCAGCGGGGCAGTAAAACACTGGCCTGTAAAGCTCGTGTTGTTTCAGCCAGTCTCAAAGCACTTGATCTGAAACTCTTTCTTCCTGCACTTGAGAAGAATGTAGGCTTTTATCCCAATCAACGCCTGGGCATATTCGAAGCCAGCTAAAGTCACGCAATGAGAACAATACGATTTTTTATCAGAATCCTGCTGACTACCTTCGACTTGTCGAGCTAGCATTTTTAGGGGGCAGGAGGGTTGTATTATGCAGTTCAGACACCACCTACTGTATTTAGATATGCACACTAGCCCTAGGGGTATCATGATTGGCCAGACCCACCACTCTTTAATTGGAATTGCATCTCTTTATCGATTTCCTGCTTGCATCGTTTGTACACGGGGTATCTTTTGGCCTTGACTGGACTTTATTTTTGAAAAGCAAACGTATCGGTATTTTCTTTAATCCTTATCATGCATCATCAGCACACCACGTCCGCTTTGGGGCTATTTAGCCTTTAATTTTTGTGCGGGGATTTCAAACCCCATCACTCCCCCACTCAAAAAAACCCCACAAAAAAACAACCAACCAAACAAACAAAAAAACACAAATCCCGAAAAACAAAGAAAACAAACAAAAAAACATCCGAGAAAATCCTTCCTGTTTGGCTACAGGACTGCAAACATTTCCAATCGATGACAAAGCTCTCCTCCCATTTCCAACACACTGAGCAGCTGTGCAAACCAAATATCTTTTTCTGCGAAAGGGAACTATGTCCCCTACATGACTCTCCCACTCTTCCTTACATTTTTTTTATATGAAGCAATCCAGGGCTTCCAAAGAAAAGTGGAAAGAGCTACTCCGCACAGTTAGATGTGATCAGGAGAGAATAGAGGAGTCTGGTACATCACCTGGTTTGGGACACCATCCTGAAGGTAAACCGACAAGGGGAGAGGTACATTGGACAGCTCCCGGAACTCAGGAGCGTTCATGAGCGACGCAACAGGTAAGCAACATTTCTGCAAGTACTCACTGTCTGAGTGCCAATTAGTATGAAATAAGGCAAAATACGCCATTTTCAAATCAATTAGTGCATTGGCTTTTTTATCCTGCCCTTTTACTCACAAATCAAAGTGCACCTCTCTTCGTCATCTTATTACACCCACTATTATTAGTAGTCCCAGTGTTATTTCAATTGTTTAATGGCTTTTTGTGCATTTAAATTACTAACTAAATATCTAATAATAATAAAAACAGAAATAACACAGAGATCCAGATCATTCTTACTAATGTGGTTTACATTAAAAAAGGAGAGAGCGTACCACGACAGTGTGGTTATTTATTGTGCATATGTTTAAGTAAACATTTGCTGTAAACCAAGATAATCACAGAGCACTATGGAAACTGTAACACAAGAAGTTGAAGAGTTCAAATTGTTCAGGATTGTCCGAAGAGCGGAAGATGAGCAATTAAATGCATAGGGCGATTTATCTGAAAAGGAACTAAACATGCTCATTTTCATTTTACATAGTTTCAAATTTGTTTTGTTTAAAGATATACAGGTAAAAATTAGTTTAAAGTTGTTTGGGAAGGGGGATAGCTGACAACAAATTATTTCCATTGCAAAGTTCCTTACCAGTGATATATTTACGTTAGAAAATGAAACAATCCGGGATGGGGATTGGAAATCTTCAACTATATACATATTCTCAACATTTCCACTGATGTATGAAGCTAAAATAGATCGGAAGACGTATCAGATGATTAGCCTAGGCTCCTCAAATACTGATGAATGTTCTTGGAGGTTTTTGTTGGTTTCTAATCCAAATTTTGAATTAAAAATTTTAGGAGACAAAACACAGAGCAAAGCAAGCAAGAAAGCAACCAAAACCTTATGATTGCACCACAATGGGAATAGAATACAGTAACATACACAGGGAAAGATTGTTACAGAGTCCACCTGCTATTAAGGTTTGAATAAAAACATAGTATTCTGATTGGACAAATGAGAAGTTCTAATGGAAAAGGTACATGTCTATAATCCAAGGGGATCGTGTTATCAAATTCTGTTCAGCTGTAAGGTTGTTTTTAGCTCTTTCCCAGGAACATAAGCTAAAATATTATTTTTCTTCTTATTTCAAAGGAGTATAAAGTAAATTCAGTGAGCTATCATTTCAGACATATTTTAACACATTTTGAATGCATCAGATTGTAACAGGTTGAGAAAAATGGAGGGGATGAAATATATATATATCCATGCAAAACTTTTGTATAGCGATTTTCCAATTCAGCTGAAATAATGTAGGGGGAGGAAGATACTTTTCTCTAAGAAGCTGCTTTGAAACCTTCCCAGAACAGCTCTGTGGTTGATTTAGATTATTATGTTCTATGTTTGTTTTAACCAGACAGAAAGTAATTGCTCAGTGATCATTTAAATTATTACTCTGATCCTTACATTTTGTCAGTGCTTCACATTAATTTTTGAACCTCAGCTTGTGTGTGTCAACGGTTGGTTTTTTTTTCAGTCACAGATACCACATAGTTTAAAAACAACATCTAGCACTTGTAGACAGTTTACATCTTCAAAGAGCTGTGTAAACATTTAGTTATTCACATATCTTTAAAAGCACCTACCCAACAGGTCCAGGTGCTTGTATGAATCATTGAAAATATGCATGATTAAGGATTAAAACCCACAAAACAATGGCTTGCCTGACCAACCCATCCCAACCTAACAAAAAAAAAAAAAAAGACTTCCTAACAAAATAAGAACAGCTTACTCACTCAGATAGCAAATCTGGTGTCTCTTGAACCAAAATAAATGGGGTGGATGAATTCTAGAGCTCAAGGCACTGGTTCAGAAATACCCCTGCTGCCTGCCTCTTAAACCAAGGTGCTGACAATCAGCCATTTTGCTGATCACAACTGGCACAGTGTGGCACCAGGAGGTGTCATTCAGAGAGCCAGGTGCCAAGATTATGGGATTTATAGATATAAACCAACACCTTCAATTCTACCTGGAAACTAATTGCAAGTCAGTGTTGATCCCAAAGTTCTGATGTAACCTGCACTCTCTGTGAAATGCTATTTAATAGACAGGCAGCTGCATTCTGCACTAACTTAAGTTTCTGAAGGTAATACTGCACAGAATGCATTACAACAGTCTAATCTTAAAGTGACAAAGACATGGATAAATGTAGGTAGAGCTGCATCCAAAGAAAAGGCCCCACCCTTCTTCCTAAACTCACATGGCTACATTTGATCCAAGAGCTGCCAAAGGTCTTACACAACTCTCAATCCGTGACCCCGAATATCAAATGGCAGGAGCGCTTTTGGAATCTGGGAGGGCTGATGTAGTCTCCACTAGATATTCCAGTTGCTTTCTCCAACATTACCTCTGTCTTGTCGATGGTTGTTTAACATTACAGTAGTACTCATGAACCCTATCAAGAATTGAGGCCCCATTGTGCTGGGTGATGTACAAATAAACAAGACAGCCCCTATTCCAGAGAGTCTGTAGTACACATGTCAGACAGAATGCAACAAATGGACAGAACAGCCAGGCAGGGTGGGTGTGGGTTAGAGATTGCAATAAAATGATGAATAGAGTTTAGCAGAACTCTCAGCTCGTCACGTGCCTTACAAATGGCAGATGGGAGTGATTTGTAGGGATCACCACAGAGTAGGCATTAAGATGTAAATGAGGATAGAAGGCGGCTTCACAGATTTTGACAGAACCTTTCTTGTGCATAGAGGGCAGCATGGAGAAAATCAGGTGATTGGGGCTGGCATTCCTGGAAGAGTGAAGGGGAGGGCTGATGTCTTAATAAGTTAGTAGATCCGATAGATAGGGGATGGCTAAATGGAGAAGGATCATAAAGGCAAAGACAAAGCGCTTGTGTTTGATCCAGTGGTGGAGTGGAAGCCAAGAGTGACCAAAAGCTGCAGGTGATGTGGGCAGAGCAGTGAGTCAGGAAGATGATCCTAGTAGCAGTGCTTTGAATGGATTTGAAAGAGACAATGTAGCTGGCATAAAGGGGATTACAGAAATCAAGATGCCAGATGGTGGAGGCCCTTTGCAATCTGGAGAGCCAGAAAAGACCTTTGAAATGTTATGGAAATAGAAGCACACAAGCTAGAGAGACAGCCTAGAGATTGGGTTCTAGCGAGAGAGCTGAGTTGTCTGGGCTGGGCCTCAAGCAACTAGCCCTCTGCAAGCTCCTGCCACACACCAACTGAGTTGCTTGACTACACCAGCTGGGGAAGACAAAATAGAGACACAGAGCTGGGAGTTTGTATGTAAGCATTACTCTTATTGAAAGAAATAAAAGCAACCATTCCAGAGTTTTTGTTGAACTGGATTGATTGGAACTTGGAATCTGTAAGAGACCTCTTGAAATCCCAAGATTCAGATTAGCTTTCTGCAAAAGCTTGACCCTAACATGCAGTATACATTCCTTGTGTTGATGACATATCTTTTCAGCACCATCTGTTTTCAGAGTTAGTGAATTATTGGAGTTGCAGCCCAGGAGACAAATTCTGATCTCTGCCTAAATCCAGAATAACTTCATTGAAGTTAAAGAAGTTAACACTCTTACTGACGTCAGAGTCTGGTCTCTGAGACCATTTTAGGCACTGATCCCACAATCCTGACTGTGTGGATGGACCACCACATCCCTGTGTGATGTCAGTAGGACTCTATAAGGGTATAGGCATCTGCTTGAACAGATCAGATTGCAGGATCGGGAGTTTCCTGAGAAATGTGACATTCACTACAATGCAGCTCCCTGACTTAGGACACCAGGGGCAAAATGTGCATTCTGGGTAAAAGAAATTAAAGCAGAGCATTTTGCCA